AACTTGACAAAAACCATGTGTGAAAATGTGTGGTGATGTCTGGATGAACAATGTCCAAAGGAGGTTCATGGAGTAGAGACAACAAACAAAGGAAAGGGTAGAAGAGGTTGTACAAGTAAAGGTTGGAGCAGTGGGAACCATGTTTGCACTGCCCAATATGAAGCCATCAGTAGGACTAGACACAGAGTGGTTTGGATTAAGGATATAACTTTGGAGAGGAGTTGGATAGGAGGGTAAGCATAGATGTGAAAACCTCTCCAATCTTGACTGAATGAATCCACTCCAGAGGTAGCAGGTGTGGAATGGGAGCCCAAAAGGAAGGAAGTATGATATACCAGTGGGTGGCAAAGGCACATATGAGGTGTCCCCAACTGGGAATACATCCACCGAAAGATCTGTGGATTGAGGGAACACTCCATGGGGAGAATCTTGTTGGAACAAGATAATTGATCTGCAACCAGATTCAAGGAGATCTGGAATTTGAAAGCACAGAGACCTGAAATTGGTACAACCTTGCTTGGTGATAAAAGTGACCACTGTGGAGTTATCAGAGTGTACCATAACCACCCTACTCAGCAGGAGAGGAACAAAGTGGGACAAAGTGCAACAAACCACCATAAGCTCAAGTATGGTGATATGGGGAGAAGACCCCTTGATCCTGGGAGTCAAAATAAGTACTCCAACCCTCTGAAGAGGAGTCCACAAACAGATGTAAATCCAGATGAGGCAGAGGAAGTGGCAGCCCTGCTGTGGTCTAGTCTCTGTCTAACCACCTGGTCAGGTTGGATCCGAGCCAGGAAAGAGGAATAAAAGGGTGGTCAAATTGATTCGTGAAGAAGTTCCACCAATCTAGGAATGTCCACTGAAGGGAACACATAAGAGCCCTACCCATGGGAATGAGAGCTTCCAAGAAAGTCTACATCCTCTAAACAGGTAGAATGTCTTTAGCTGTGAGAGAATGTGTGGTGAGAGCCTTGTCAACTGTTTGCTCCACATCACGAAGACAAAGAGGAGAAGGCTGGGCCCAACTGAGATAGGAATGAAGGAAATCCCCAAATGAATGAGGAATTAAATGGAGGTAAGAATTGACTTCCCCTTTCATCAGGAATTCTATCTGTGATGTTTCTTGTAGAAGCAAAAGAGTATGGTCACTGAACTGTGAACAGAAAGAAGCAAGCAGTAGCCATTCATCCATGTAAAGACGAGTGCAAAGACTCATCAAATGAAGATGTTGGGTAAGAGCTTGTACTACCTAACAAAACATTGAAAGAGCCAAGGTTAGTACAAAAGGCAGGGTCCTGAACTGGAATACTTGACTTTGAGCAATAAATAACTATTGATGATGTGGGCACAGTGGGGACAAACCCGAATTGTAGATTACAAGAAGAAAATACGGTTTCTAGTATAAAGAACATAGGAAAAGGAGAAAATTTAGTTTCTAGAATAAAGAACATAGGAAAATGAGAAAATCTAGTTTCTAGTATAAAGTTTGTTTGTTTGTAATTAAGCACAAAGCTACACAATGGGCTATCTGTGCTCTGCCCACCATGGGTATCAAAACCCGAATTCTAGCATTGTAAGTCTGCAGACATACCGCTGTGCCACTGGGGGGTTCTAGTATAAAGAACATAGGTATAACAGAAAATTCACTTTCTAATATAAAGAACATAGGAAAAGGAGAAAATTTGGTTTCAAGTATAAAAAACATAGGAAAAGGAGAAAATCTGGTTTCTAATATAAAGAACATAGGAAAAGGAGAAAATTTAGTTTCTAGTATAAAGAACATAGATATAAGAGAAAATTGGGTTTCTAGTATAAAGAACATAGATATAAGATAAAACTGGGTTTCAAGTATAAAGAACATAGGAAAAGGAAAAAATTTGGTTTCAGGTATAAAGAACATAGGAAAAGAAGAAAATTTGGTTTCTAGTATAAAGAACATAGGACAAGGAGCTGAAGAAAGGCTCAGCCCTATGAACATGTCAGCAATCTAGCCAAAAAAAAAGGAAATTTAAGTCTTACACTGCCAAGAAGTCCGCAAAGTACGTAATTATAACAAACATACGAAATTAGCTACAAAAAGAAAACAATATCTAACTTACAATTCATCTAAATTAACTTAGAGTACAATGGATGCACAATATCTAACTTATCGAAGTCCAAGCATTGATGACATGAAATACATAAATCTCCTGTTTGTGAATAAGGACAAAGCCACACAAATGGCATCTGAGCCAAGCCTACCACAAGTATATCCACCATATGTGAAGTGTACATGTTGAGAAATGTACCACAGAACCACTGAGAGAACTGGAAGCAGTATGAAGAGAAGAACAAACCTCCACCAAAGGAGAAGAAAACTAGCAAAATCACTCACGTCTCAAATAAACAGTAAAAACAGAACATGCATCAACTGACGACCTGATTAACTCTTTCACAACAGCTACCGCTTTAAACACTTTTCTGTGCAAGTCACTGTGTTACATTCAAAACTTAATTAAACACCTTTGCTATCCATGTATGTGAATGAAATTACCATTATAATGTATGTTATGATTTGAAGTTTTATGTCATATAAGTTTTAAGTTCTTTATTTCAAAAGAAACTTTTTAAAATGCTGCTTAAAACTTTGGGTGTATTGTCACGTGACCAACAAGCAACAAATATTCTCTACTTTGGCACTCTATATACATCAGCATTTATATATTGGCAGTCAGGTTTCTTAACACTTTTGCTACAGGCATCTTTTTCTGCACGTGTCATGAAGGTTTAGTGAGTTACATTCAAAATTTAATTAAAGTACTTTATTATCATGGTATATGAATAAGCTTGGCATAAAAATGTAGCTAATAATCCAAATTTTAATATTAGTTTTAAGTTCTTAATTTTATAATGCAACATTACAAAAAATCCTCAATTTCATCTCATATGAGAATTGTGACATTTGCTCTACAGGTATCCCCCTTTTCTGTAATTCACTTATCATCCCTCCGAGAATGTTGTCATTGCTCAGAAAAAGCATACATTTTACAGCCTTCAATCTTATTTGGTTAGAGAGCCCTAGACAAGAAAATCAGACCCCTCTTGCTGTGCCCACCTATCACATCCTCTCTTCCATAAATTGCCAATAGTTCTCTCTGATGTTTAATCCTATTATTTAAAACCAATAAGAAAGCCAAGGTTTTACTTTATCAAATGATGTGTTGCACTATATTGTTTTTTGTATAAAGAGTCTTCTATTTCACTTCTAACCAAAACTTTATTCCCATGGGAAACACAACAAGCTTAGTTGAATTTTTAACAGCTCTTATCACATAGTTAGAAAGGCAGAAAAATTGTGATAGTTATGGGGCATTGTCTGCTTTTTGCATGTTATTATTCTGTGTTCTTTGGTGCACCATTTAATTAAATAAAAATTATTTAGTGCAGTAGTACCATTAGTATAAAAAAGTAGGGTTAAGTTTCATCGAAAGTCAACAGAAAAAATAAAATAAAGACCTAGGTAAGTACTATATTTCTTGTTTTTCATGTGTATTCTTTACTTATTATTATAAAACTAATTAATGTGTAAAAATTAGAAACTTTTTACATTAGATTAGGTAAAATAAAGAATAATAACAATAACAAAAAATTTTCATGAGGTATGCTCAGGAGCAACTCGTGAGTAGCCTGTGTTTTATGTAATTCAATAAAGTTATGTGAGCTACATGTTCGCTAAATGATTTACAACTTATGTAGTGGAATATTAGTTAGACATGGTTGAAAGTTCAAAAAATAATAAAATTTAAGTATAAATATATATATACTGTTATGAGTTTGAAGCTATTTATGATAAACAAATGTAGTTTCATGTTACAAGTTGAAGACATTCTAGAAATAAAATAAGGGTAATTTAGATATATTTCAAATTATTTTTTGGTGGTTACGAGGGCAGTCAAATTGACGAACCTCATACAGATTTAGGGTAGAGAAAATAAAAGATAAAATATAGTTTTACCAAAAAACAAAGATATGAAATATATTTAGGAGGGTTTTACAGATTAGACAAATGAAGTATTTTTCTTAACACGAACATCATATTGCACTCTAAGTAGTCAACAATTTGACTTTATATATTCATGGAGAAATATTTAGTAAAAATACTTCATTAAAAATTCTGATTTTTTATCTGTAAATGACTCTTAATAATTACTAAAGGCCTGCAAAATTTTGCAAAAATACAAAAAAAAATGTAAGAAATTATAGTATGGAAGCTATAAAGGTCAATTCAACTGAGCTCATACTGAGAGAGAGAGAGTCAAGAAACTAAAAATGGCAAGTTTTGGCATAAAACCAAGGTGCAAAATGTAAACTTTTAAGATCATCCCAGAAAAATCTTACTACTTCTACAAAATTAAGTGAATATACCAAAAACTTCTGGGTTTCTGGAGTAGCTGAAACATTTATGTCCCTGTTTATTAAATTATTTGAGCATAGTCCTTAAGATTTGTTTCCTAATTACTGTAATTTATCTAAAGATGTGTTATTGGTTGTTATTTTTATTGAATTTTGTACAGAACTACTTGAGGGCTACTGACATTAGATGTTCCTAATTTTGAAGTGATAGACTACAGGGAAGGCAGTGAGTCAACATCACCCACTACCAAAGAATAGTGGGTTTGACTATCACATTTTAATGCCTACACGGCTGAAAGGACAAGCATGTTCAGTACTGGGAGTTGAACTCATGACAAGTCAAATTCTTTAACCATAAGACTGTGCTAGACTGAAAGATATTTTAAAACTTTGAGAATTGACATTAACAATCTGCCCAGAAAGTCAAGTTTGTTATCTCTGCATAACTGAAACTCACTTGCATTTGTTACTGTTCATTGGAATCACTGATTGCATGAACTGACTATTCTTGCAGACAATTATCTTTCTTATATAAATCTGAATCCACAAGAAACAAATATATAAAAGAAATTCTCATTCAATAAAATATGAGAAGCCCAGCAAACCTGGTTCATCAGGTTTAGGGTCCGGTAGTTCTTCCTCTCCTTCCTGCAATCCTTTTCCTCGTAGGAATGACAAGTCAAGAATGTCTGGTACATCCACTGATATATCTATGAAACATATAAACAAAAAGTTACTAAATTCTAGCATGACAGTGAAGTATTGTAGGTAAATGATAAATTAATCATTTTTCTAATAAGAAACTCAAGATTTGCCTGCTAGATATGTTGAGAACTTGAATAATCTCCTTTGTTATTAAATATATGGAAAGCAGTGAGATTTATTTAATCAACCAAGTTAAGTTATTATTCCCTCTTAAGAAATTGAAGACTGCTTATCAATAGTATTTCAGTACATCTAAGCTGTATTCAAGTAATGTACATGAAAGATAGTTAAAATTTGTTTGTCACTTTTCACAACTCTAAATAAACTTTGAACAACTGTACTTGGAAGTTTTTTGTCCATGCAAAAAAAAACAACAAAAAAACAGGCCTATCCTAATATATATTGGGTTTTATATATGTTAAAAGTAATTATGATAGTCTAATGTTTTAAAAAAATATGGGCTTAGTTGAGTAAGGAAGCATGTTATACTAATATATAGGTAGGCAAACATTCCTACACCAACCCAAAACTAAAAATGAAGAGACTGTTTAGAAAATACAGAAATCATTAAAACAAATGAACTCACACTAAACCGTGTTAATGGCCCTACCAACATTAGCCGTACTTGGCAATGTTCATTCACTGCTCAAACACTTGATCAGACTTGTCTTTTACTTATATACCATCACCTGCTGAGATAATTTCCATAACATTTAACCCTTGTGTCTTTGTAATTATATATAAGCCTGTATTGCTTATTACAGATCATACCTGAAGAAGACAGACCAATGTTTTGTTGAAACATGTGGTATGTTCCACCATCAATAAAACTCTTATTTATGCTTATAAATCACTGTTTGCCTAGCTATTAAAATATGAGTTTATCTGGATTTTGTCACCATTAGAAGTGTTAAATGTCAAAAGCTATCTATATAATGAAACAAGCAGACCCAAAACTCATAATATAAATTATTAAAAGCTAGTGGTTCTAAACCTTTTTTTTTCTTTTTCTTTTCTGATGGGTCTCCACAAACCAAGGACAATCTTGCAGACCCCACACTCAGATAGGTCTATTCATAAAAGCTGGTCATACAGGGTATAAAAGCAACACTGATACAAACATGAAAGTTAAGATTTTCCTAAACTGAAAACATATTTCCAAAAGATACTTACCTCTTTTCATAAAAAAAGCTTTCTTGACTTATACAGCTCTTTATCTGTGCAAATTTTCATTCATCACTACCCTTGCTACTTCCACTTATTACAACACACTAACATGCAAATGATCATGCAGCAACCATCCACCAACAGGAGTGTGACACTACCCTTATCATAACTAGTACCCTCTCTAATCATGCATATGTTAATCACTTCAAGATTGGTCATCACTAACCAAAGCAACTCACACTGGAAATGGGGAGGATGGGTGGGAAATGCAAGAGGAGGTAAGTATCTATCGGAGGTACATTTTCAGTTTAGGAAAATGTTAATTCCTGACACAATATCTTACCTCCACTCACAAAAAGCTGAAATCCAACACTGAACTGGTGAAGGGCCAGTGAGACGATGATCCCCTTCAAGAAACACCCAAAGGAAGCCCATGAGGTGGTGTAGAGTGGCTAGGGCACAACATATCATACATGGGAGTTCGACCTCAACCATCACCTGGCTGAATCCGGATTGTACATCATGTCAGTGGTAAAAAGATAGTCCTCTACCTTTCACCTCAAAAACAGGTACCAGCATGGAAGAGGGCCTCTTGTACCAAGAACCCATTTCTGCATGTGTGCACCTCCAACACCAGATGGTAGGAAGGAGAGCCCAGGTGAGTGTTCATCTCCAGTCTAAAAGCTGACAGCAATGGGAATTTTTTTGTCCAGTCTATGGTAGGAAGAGAGTACCCAGCCTTACATATGTGAGAAGTCATTTGTCTTGTCCAGTTACAACCAACACCAGATCTGCTGGGAACAGACATTCAGTGGATCTAGAAAGAGGAACCACAAATTTGGGTTTGCATGTCCAGTCGAATACCTGACATCATTGGTAATTTATCATCCAGTCTTTGGTAGGAGGAGGGTACCAGCCAAACACATGTGAGAACTTATGTGGCTGGACAATCTCCAACCAACACCCAGTCCAGGAGAACTGAAGGTAGGAAAGAGGGTGTCTCAGTCAGAGGGACAAACTACTATATATATATATATATATATATATATCCAACACCTGGCAGCATCTGGAATTCCACACCAGGTTCATGGTAGGAAGGAAGTCACACCATTGCCACCTGTAGAATGCTACTGCCCTACTCTTAAACTGAGTGGCATTGTGCACACTCTGAAGGACAGGCCTCCATGATCCACCACTTCTGTGGCTAGGAATTGATCAGTGGCAAGGGCTCCCATACTCCACTAGAAGAAGGGAAAGTACATTGGAGAGTCCAAAGAACTGCAGCACCTATTTTGAAAAGCAGAACGATCACATTGACAAAGTGCATCATGCAATACTTGGCGGCATCTGGAATTGTACATCAAGTCTGTGATAGAAAGAGCTTCAAATGCCAAGGATCATCATATATGGGCAGCAATCCTTGTCTGCTTTACTCATTTAGCCTATGAGCGTACAGTTCGGGGCAAACATAGTTATGAAGCAAAAGACTGCAAGGTATACCTACAAGGAACACCCCATTTCAACAGTGAGTGTAAGATGATCTGGATATGTGTTACAACATTGTATTTTGAAAACAATGAGAACACACTGACAGAGTCAATCAACCAATACCTGGCAGCTTCTGGAATGGTACATCAGGACCGTGGTAGGTAGAGTCTCAACATCAGTCATCTAGCATGTTCACAGGTCATACCGTGTAGATTCAAGACTATGTATACTTGGTCAAACAACACTCACCATACAGTGAGATACAAATATGCAATAAAGGGCCCTACAAAGAAAAAGAACAGAGTACTTTCCACCACAGACAAACAGTTACAGCATTGGTGATGTCCGCCCAAGGGACATGGTAAGATGACAGACCTGATTAGAAGAAAACATGAAAAGGGTGACAATCATCAGGAGAAAGGAAAGAAAATGCTAGACAAATTCAACCTAGAAGGGTAATGGGAAAAAGGTCATGGAAGAGGTGAGTATTTCACTGAAGAAACAAACAAACCATGGAAAGGAGCAGTATGTGTCATATACTGTCAGACTGACCTGACCCAAAAAATGGGGTGGGTGGGATTAGAACAGTTATAAAGATGAGAAAAGGAGGGAAGGTCACTGTACTATGAGACAACAGGGAAGATGAATGGAATTAGAGGACCAGGCATACTGATAGGACTTTCAGAACCCATGGACCTCCAAAAGTAAGCAAATTGAAAGAACCTGGCTCCACCAACCCCCACCTTAGAAGGATGGTCTAAGTAAGACAAGTATGGGCAATTGTAACTAAATTTTCAAGGTCTGATCTCCACTATGTGAGAAGTGACACTAAATGCTTAGAGTCCAAATAAGGGAAGTTGAATGATTATAATCAAAAGCATGATCGTCCACAGTACATAGTGGTCAAGGCATACGGACTACTGAATGCAAATATCCCCCCAAATGTCTCGTATGAATCCCAATATCCAGGGGAGGAAGAAACACTAAATAATGACCCAAAGGCTTGTCTCCGAGAATTGCAGGCGTTGAACATAGGAAATGGGAGATAAGTACAGTACATAATATTCCTGAATAACAAATCCACCAAAGGGGAAAAAGGTCTGGGCAAGACCCCCGAAATGACACATAACTAAAAGGCATATTCAGGAGGGGGAAAAAGGCTATCCAAATCCAAAACTAAAAGATCACTGAAAAGATTGTGAGAACAATCATCAGTGTTTTTTTGATTATTGTATGAAATTGGTCAACTCCTTGCGGACCAGAGCCGTCACTTCATAGGTAGAAAATCATTGGACGTGGTTGGTAATTCCGCTAACCACAGTAAGAGCAGTCCCATTCATGATCACCCCAAACTGTGAGTGCATAACTCCCAAAATTGAAAAAGAAGAGAATAGAAAAAATAAAATAAATCTTAAATCTCCAAAAAACAGAAAAAAAAAGTAAGATAAATTAATTTCATGAAAGTAAAAATGTGTGG